AGCACAAATATCGCAGGGGTAATGGAGGAGAGGAGCCAAGTCGTTGGTAAACCTAAGGAACAATAATAGTCCTAAAACGGAACCTTGGGGAACACCGCTGTGATCAGCGCCGATGCTTGATCTAGCTTCGTCGACCGGAACGCGAAAGGTTCTACCTCAAAGAAACTGCAATCCAAGTCAAAAGTTGCGGATGCAGGCCAAACTATTCCCGTTTCGCAAGTAAGAATCGGTGCTTAACCTAGTCGAAAGCTTTGCTAAAGTCGAAGCAACATACTTCAACTGAGATTCCATCATCAAGACAGATGGTTACTTCATCTAAGAAGCACGCAAAATTGGTAAGAAACACAAAAGAAAGCAGAAGGACATACGATTAGTAACAAACACAAAAGGCCTGACCTACTGGGACTACTACGTATTTCTGCCAGATGTATACATATATAAGTGCAGTATGTCAAACCAAATGTACGTGACATGTTACCTGAGCATCATTATGTGGAACATTCGGTGTATTAAACCCAAATAAAGCTGCTGTATGAGTTGGCTGACGAACTTTGCCCTCTGATTACGCATCTTTTTGGGAGGTCTTTACGTAGTTGCTCTCTACCGACTACTGGAAGCAGGCTACTGTCTCATTTTTAAAAAAGGTGGCAAACACTTCATTAAAAACTATACCTGTCAAGCTGGTCAAGCTGTTACAGAAACTTGTGAGAGACTCGGAGGATATTTGAGAGCGTTTGGGTTGCTCAACCCCTCTCAACACACCCGTGTTGAGAGGTAACTGGAGAACATAGGGCCGAAGCTGTCGAGCGAGGGAAGGCAGTGGACGTGATGTTCATTGACTTTTCCAAAGCTCTCGACTCCGTTCCGCATTCGCGTCTTTTGTACAAGCTGCAATCTTACAGTATTTCTGGACATGTCTTGCGATGTATTTCAACTCTCCTAATCGGAATGGAGATGAGTGTTCGTGTGGGAGCCGGTCTGTCTTTTCGACAATGCGTTCTCAGTGGGGTCATTTAAGCTTCTGTCCTTGGTTCCCTTCTCTTCACTTTATACGTCAGCGACTTACCTGATGAGCTGGGGTGCCATCCCTAGTGTTTGCGGATGACTTAAAATTCTTATTCACAGTAAACGACCCGACTTCTCTACTGACCCTACAAAGCGCTGTGGATAGCTTTTGGGACTGGTCCTTTTTATGACAGTTTGCCCTTGAATGTCGTAAGATGTTCAGTCCTACGCGTAGGACCAAACGACCCACCGACGCGTTATTAGCTTGGTGGCAACGAAGTTCTGCGGTTGCAGCTCCAAGCTAACCTAGAAGTCTTGCTGTCAATCGAGGTTTGGGGATCGGATGCACTTACTACAGAAGCATAGGACCTCACTCTCTGGATGTTGTACTGTCTAGCAGACCTGATCACGTCTGGCGAGGGAATAGTAGAAAGTCGGGTCTGGACTGAACGCTGTTCACGGGAGGGCGGAGAGATAGATGTCGATCAGCAGTCCGCAGTTACAACTGCAGATGTCTTCGATTTTGTCGGGCGGCTCCGTCCATCAGTCGTTGGACATGTTGCAGATGAACCGGAGTGGAGTCGACTCCGCCGTCTCGATGTATTAGCGTCCGAGGGAGAGCGAGGAGAGTGACGTTCATCATTCTTGGGGGACATAGCCAAAGATGGACAAGAACCTGGAGATAGTGACCGTAGATTGGTAGACAGGCGGTTGCTGCTTCCTAAAGTCCTGCACGAGTCACAATGGAAGATAATGACCTGTGAGGTACAAAGCTGAACGTGGTGGCAAAGCTCAGCGCTGATGCCGCAGCAGACTATGTGCAGCCATCCACTACATAAGAAGCATTGCACAGCTTTCGATCGAGATATGACACCCTTGCCGCAATCCATGCACTTGGAAGTCATAATACACACTTACTCAAAGCTGCAAAATTGCACGCAGAAGCGTCCACTTCCAATGCCTAAGAAACAATGACAGAGACCAAAGCAACACTAACGTCAACGAGAAAATTCGAAGGTGGAATATTCACGGGATCCTCCTACTGTCCCGGTCCCACGAATTTGAACTCTAACACTTGTCTATCGGCGCCATTTGCTGACATATTGCACTTTGGCGGGCTCCTAGATATTTACTTTCCGCCGGCAGTTGTCATCTTGAGTGCTTGAGAGTTTCTGCTCGTGTTCCGTGTGCTGTGGTTTCCGTTGCTTAATCTCATAAATTCTGGAACACTGACAAGGTAAGATATAATGTTGACTAGCAATACCTAAAGCAATGTCCATGGGTGTAATTATTACCATAACGCATGCCTTTCCGGCATATTTTTTGGCAACCTATGTTTCAATGGAGATGCTATGTTCGATCTTCTCACGTTGAATGGGTATGTTATGGCTGCTTTAGCGGTTTTACAGGACCAAGCAAGACTTTTTAAACTGCATTTTCTATGGCCGAAACCAGATGATCAGACCTGCGACTTACATACCGTTATCCTGCATTTGTCAGTTTTGTTTTGCCCATTTTTATGAAGATGAAATAAATCTTAATGTTACTTTCCTAATACAATGATTTTGATCTTGTACCTTTTGGTGTAATGTGCAATGTTTGTAGCTGTTGCGGTGTCGTGTTGACTTTGCCTCCATCCGCCTTTTGACGTCATTCATGATTTTCGATTACTAATTGTGCAAGTTTATGTCGCATGCGGGGCTGCGTTCACTGCGTGCTCTTCATCTGTTTTGGATAACAGGAAGGCATGTTATCAACTGAAGCAAACCGCATAACTCCTGTTCGCCACACATTGAGAACCATTTGCATATTGGATTTGATCAGGCTTAGTATGTATTAATGTTGCCAGTGTTGACACACACTTATGTTCAGGATTTGCTATGAGACCACCTTTCACTAACCGTCATTGGTCTTTCATGTTTCCCAACGAACGAACATTGCTCGGTCGGTATTGTTCAGCCCTAAGACGCGCTACGCAATCCGATTTTTAGCCCAAATACATAGATAATGACATTCAGACGGCTACATCGTCCACGCTATTAATGGATGCAGCTATTTTTTTTATCCCTACGTTTCTCCTAATTCCCACGTTAACAGACACGCGAATAGTGTCCTGACACGATGGACGGAGACAGCCTGGCAAATGCGTAAGCGTGACTGAGTGAAAGTTGCACATTTGTTAGCCAGGACAGTGAGGTTAACGCTTCCACCTCGACGTCACAATTGCACCGAATATTGATAGGCAGCGACGCGGAGCGAAGTACAACTGCGGATATCGTGCAAGATTTACGACGCTGGGTAAAGTGTACACGACCCAGCGTTTCCTTCGTATACAAGTTGCTTGATGCTCTGCGCAAGAATGTGCCTAGGCTACCGAAAGATTACAGGACATAAGCACATGCAGACCATTTGCGTTGGTACGGGGGAATATGGCCACATTGGGCTACTGCGTGGCTCATGCATTATATACCAGAATGGAGGCATTCAGCTGCCGGAGAGGGTTGTAGTTCAACTGCACATAGATGCCTTCGCCCCTTACACTTCCTCGTAACAGCAGATCTGGCCAATTCCCTATCGATCGGTTGATCCGGTGAAGTTCGATCCATTTGTTGTGGGTGTTAACAGTGGCCCGAAAAAAACCTAATGATACGAATGAATTTCTGAACCCACTTATACTGGACATGCAAGATTTGATGACCATCGGTT